ACGGCTTTAAGGGTCCTATCATGTATCAAACGGAAGCAGCGCAGAACAGTTTGAGCAGTAAAGTCGTTCTTTCTTTATTGGAGAATTTGGATTTTAACGCTGTCTTCGTCCGAAGAGCAAAACATTTTGACATGTGATTGAAGCACACGTTGTTTTTTGTTAAGATGCCAACTCATCGGTCATTGTCCTTCCCTGTGGTTTAGACTGAGTCATGCTGTGTCCATGTGAAAAGAAACCGGTTCAAAGTCAATTAAATTCCTCAATCGTTCGCTGTGGTCATGTGGCCCGGTTCCCCCGGGGCCTTAAACTTTGTCCAGACTTCGTCCCCTGATCAGATGAGACACCGATGGCGCATCCGACCAGATCACGCAGCCCGACGCCCTTTAAACAGGAACCAAGTGACATCATCTGTACCCGATCAGCTGTGCGGTGCACCGTCTCTGCTGGTTCAGGTCTCAATGTTCAAGTTTGTCAAAACCAGTTTAATTTCTCTTCCTGGTTCCTGCCAGTCCTCGTTTTAATGAATGAGTTTAACTTCCCCTTTAATTCCTGTATTCATGACCTTCGCTCTCCATTGTCACGCTCATCATGGCCACGGCAGCAGAAACTTTGAACCGCGTCCGTGCCGACCACGCGTTTCTTTCCTGCGTGTTTCCTCTCACTTGACACTATGTCATCCGCTTGCTCGCCCGCTACATCAGTTTAGTTGTTTTGTTCTCGTCTGTCAGCATGTTGTGTTTGCTTCCTCCCAAAGTAAATTTACCCCTGAAAGCACATCACAAGAGCTGGCTTGTCTCTGGCAAAGTCGTATACCTGTAAAACGCGCGTTAGCACACAGCTTTCATTGCTCCCGCGTGATCTTTTCCTCGCTGCCCTGCTTTGTACAGTACGTTTGTACCCAGCGAGCTGCGACCCCGCTCACAGTTTCAGAGGGCGGAGCGCTTTGTGTTTCTCCGTCGGGGAGGAATTTCAGGAATGGCGGTAATGGACGGAAAAACAGACCGGCAGTCTCCCAGATGGCCTGGGAACACCGAGTGCTAACGCCGCCCCCGGAATAAGGCTGCGATCCGTGTACGTGGCCGGTTCCCGTGTTTGTTCGCAAGGCTGTTCACCCCGTACAGTGAAACGGGAATGAGAGGAGCGTTTGCTTTGGCTGCGATTCATCAAAGCTTTCAGCCTTGGCCTTTGTCCCCCGCCGTGAAATGCGAGGTAGACTTTGAAGCGCCGCCCTTAAAAAAAAAAAAGAAGAGACAATTGGAAGCCGAACCTGCAACCGCCGTTAGCAACTCAAGTCAAGATCCAACCTGCTCTTTCTTTATGGGAGCAGGCTTTGGTTTTTCCAGTTTCCCTTTTGTTTTGGGTAAACGTGTGTGTGTGTGTGTGTGTGTGTGTGTGTGTGTGTGTGTGTGTGTGTGTGTGTGTGTGTGTGACAGAATCCCAGTCAATAATGTTCCCACACATTTCTCTAGAGACAAGTAATGGGTCTTCCTGTGTGTGTGTGTGTGTGTGTGTGTGTGTGTGTGTGTGTGTGTGTGTAATCAGAGCTCCTTCTTGCTTTGTTGACGTAGCCGATGACCCGCGTCCTTGGCGTCGCCATGTTGCGAGCCAAGCAAGTGTACATGGCGTTTCCACCTTGCTCGTCTGTGTTCTAAATACAGTAACTTCCGGTCATCGGTTGGACAAAAAGACATTACGCCGAAGGTCGTAGCCGCATCCGACAAACCAACGGGCGACTCTTCTTCACGGTGGAACACAACCGACATTTTGAGGGAGAAGACGGAGCAACGAAGAGGACAGTCAACGGGAAAGAGGAATTTAAGCCTTGACTGTTCTGGGTGCTAACGCTAGTTAAATGCTAACGTACTCTTCTATTGTTCCAGCACCAGATGGTTTTACGTAGCAACAGAAATCTTTATCTCCTTTACTACAACAACAGATGAACGTAAATCATTGTTATCGTGTGATGACGCTGGCTGGCGTGATCGGTTGGAACGCTCCTTTTAGAAAAACGCACACGGTTCACCGAGTCTTGTTTCCACGCTGGTATCTTATCACCTAAATTTAAGGAAGCGACTTATCAACAGTTCTCTGCTCAACCAGTTACTGCAATTCAGTCAACCTTTAGAAAACAATTGATATAAAGAAAATGCTCACAAAATGCTAAGGCATGTTAAACTGGTAGATATTTTAATAACATCACACAGCCATTACCATTAAGTGGAGGCTGTTAATGAAGTGTACAAAGTACAAAACACACCCCACAATCAACGGGGCGCGGCCTCACCATGAGCGCCGGGAAAAAAAAAAATACCACTAAAAGCTACTTACGGCATTCTTTGAAATCGACACTCCGTCAAGTCCTCTGACTCTGAGCCTGATTGGTTTATTTCAGGTTCACCGCCAATCAAACCAACGATGGCAGCGAGTATTACACAATACCGGGCCGAATAGGATGCTGCATTGACGACAGCTCGGAAAGTACAAACCCCGTCCTGTATTGTTTCAAAACAGGACGCGTTATTTCATTCTCAAATACGGGACGATTCCGTATTTTAAGGGACGGGTGGCAACCGTAGACTTCTTCTACACTAGTTACAGCTAGTAAGCTACGTGTTAACGCCGTATATTCGTTCACCGCGTGCATGACGTCGCGGTGTTAAAGTTAGCATCGCTACCCAGCTGCGACGAAAATAGGTAATTGTGTGAAGTTTTCTGGGGCTTTTGAGATATACACATATATATATATATATATATATATATGATTCATTGACATACTGAATTGTTTGAATAAGATGTTGAACTGTAAAGTATTAATGCGTGTTTGATACCCTTTTTTGCATTGAGTCATACTGGGATGTTTACTGAAACTGATTGGCTGGTCTACCAAATACAAAATCCAACAGCCGCCACTGGATCTGTGTTTGCGTTTCAAACTTTTGCGGCAGTGTTTTCAGATATTCTTTAATAATCTTATCAACATATAGACACAAACAAACTGTCCGTTCTTGGGAAGCAGGTCGGCGCTTAAATGAGACGAGATGTTTCGGCTGAAGCGCTACAGAAAGCATCGGGGTGGAGCGGCCCGGCTGCTTAGTGGCGCGTATCGCTCGTGTTTTTTTGGTGCTTTGGGAAGTACCTAAATGTTGCCGTCAGATAGAAATAGTGCAAATCGTCGACCCATTTTGACCTCGGTTTTACTGATTAATTTGACTGAATACCGCTGCAGCTGTGGCCCGAAAAGACGCATTATTATCAGAGCAGTGTCTTCTAAGGCAATTAAAACTGAATAAAAGAAGAGCGGGATAAAGGAGTTAACGCTTGTAATTATGAAAGGCTATTAAAAGCTTCTTTGTAATTAGCTCGCCTGATGTTTTCAGTGTGTTTCACTCGCTCGGTGGTCTTTGCTGTGGTGTTTCCACGGCGGACGTCCAAAGTTTTCCCGCCACTCAACAGTCATGTGCCAAAATGTGACATGACTTCCTTTTTTTATTTTTCTCTGGTTTCCTTGGTTGAGGACAGACTTATTCAGGAGATTCCCCCATGTAGCAGCCACCGGTTATCATCACTATGATCCCACGGTCCAAAATCTTGCAGAGCAAGGTCACGCTGTGGATGACATCATCACATTTAACCATTCTGAAGACATTTTATATCCAAATTAGTATGTATCTCTTTTTGCGAAATTTGAGATGCAAACATAAAAAGCTTTCATTTGCGCACAGTGAAAGAGCTGCTGTGTGTTTCAGGGTCAAACCATTCAACTTCTTTTAAAATCTTTAATTAGGATGATTCTGTTTGAATGTTGTAGTTTGATTTAGTGACCTTTTACAGAACAAATATCTCAAAGTAACCGCTCCGTGTTAAACAAAACAAAAACTCCCTAAAATGACCTGTTCTTGTTTGGTAAAACCTCAGTTTGACTTGAAATAAACACTTTTGTGACATTATTAACTCACGGATGTCAATTTTGGGTAAATTAACTTTAACTCTACGTTTCATATGGGAGATTAGCAGCCGCCTCCTGGGTGAAAGTCTGACCTGAAAAACAAACCAAATCTTGGAGAAACTTTCCCTCAAAACAATCGTAATTCGTGGTGTAGGATCGCATTTAATAAGAAACCAGGCTGGATGGCTTCTAATTCACGCGTGTTAAGATTAAATGAAGGCCGGACCGGGGTGGCAGGACTGGAGGCGTGGGAGGCGGAGAAGGGGGGCGATTTGTCGACACGGCGGGTGAGATCACAGATTGTATGTCGTTATTTTAGATTCTTAAAAGGAGCAGAAAACAGTCACGCTGACACCAGTCGTCACTCACTATTATTAATGGAAAGGGTTCACGTCCGCCCCCCCCAACCCCGTTGTGTCACTGCAGCTGTCTCCGCCCGACAGCTGAGAGGATCAAGGCTCCGGAGAGACGGATGACAACATGCACGCTGAATAAAAGACTTGCATGAGTAATTGGGATTGCACAACAAGTTAAAGACCACTTGTGTGAGTTATTTGGCCGTCATCTCACCTCCTTTTACCTGCAACATGGCGTCACTGTGCGTGTCCTCGTTCTTTGTGCAATGTCAATCAAAACTACCTGGTTGAGGTTTAAGAAAAGATCGTGGAATTGTATTTGAGTTTAGGTAAGAGGTTCGTCATTCAGGTTCAAGTAACTGCAGAAGTAACTACATTGCGCAAGTTGGGTGACAAAATAAATGAACACCAACTTCTCGTTAGCCACGGGGAACAAACCGCTGTGTCTTACCGAGGACTTCCCTGGTTATTGAATCTAATGACAATGTCTGCACAACATGTGGACGAAAGCTTGATGTGTGCATACTATGACGGGAGGCAGACGTTCTACACCCTCTGATGACCAAAGGTGGTGCTTTGCAAACCACCACGGCCTGCATCCGCACCGAATGCACACATCCCCCCCCGTGTCCCCCCCACGTGGTTGTCGTGTCCCGTGGGGCTGATCCTGTTTTTGTCTTTTTTGTTTTTGTTTGTAGTGGACCTTCAAAAGTGCAAAGGCAGCTTCTCACCATTGAATTGTTGCAGATCGTGCGCTCTCAGAGGGGAGGACACGTGAGTTGAGTCCAGAATTAACCTCGCGGTATCTTATCGGGTGAGCAATTTGAGCCTGTGTAGTTTGATGTCCTCAGGTAGACGGTTAGAATGGGAGAGACTCACCTGTCCAGGTGAGTCGTGTGCTTCGTGCTGCGCCTCAACTTGGAAGCGCATTCATTGCTCTTTAGGAATGTTTGCCCCAGCCGTATGTTCTGTGTGTGCTTGTGTTGATTAGCTTTTCACCTTGAATCCATTCCTCATTCCAACTGTAATGCTGCACACACCCATCGATGCAGTTATTCCGAAGAACATTGCATGACCACAGCAAGTAAAACAATCATTTAAGCTGTAAAGACAAGGCGAGATTAAACCGCCCCAGCTCTCGTGTTGATTTACAGGCCTGTGGGTGCAGCTCACCTTTGCCTTGCCAGGAAGCTGATCAAAACAATACACCCCGGATGTTTACCCGCCTTCAGTACTGATTGGCTGCAGTTCTGTGGGAATTTTCTAAGAGTGGTTGCAAAAGAATAGTTAGCAATATCATAAATGGTGATTCATATGCTAATTATGACAATTTCACGCAAATATCTGACAGAATAAAATAAAATGGGACTCTTTGGAGAGCCACGTAAACTGTTTGGGTTTACGTTTAACTAATCGTTTTATTCAGCGTTCAAGCAGTGAAGGTTCTTCAGTAACAGCCTCTTCTCTCTGACTTGCAGCGGCTGCAGCGTGATGTGAGCACCAGACCTTCTCCGACATCCGGCTCTGGACTATGACCTGCGCCTGCGAGGAAGCTTGATTGAAGAAAGTTATTTGTGATGACTTACTCATTGTTTTATCGTCTGTCTGAAACAGCAGCAATCCGAACAGAACTTTGGATAACGGCTGATATTGATCTGATACCAGTGTTTGTTTAATTATCTACAAATGATTGTGAAAACAGTGAATCATGCACCAACAGCTTGGCAACAACACATTTTAAAGCAACGTGAAGGACAACCAATGTAAACCTGTTTGATTTAGCAATACATATTTTATTATTCAAGATATTTTAGTACAGTCAAACCTTATGGAAAACCAATCTCATAATATTATTCATAGTATAAGCTGAGTTCACTACAAGGAATTGCTCTGCTTTTTGCACTTTACAATGTATATTAAAGTTTATTTTCCTAAACCAGATGTAAAAATGTATCTTTCAGAAACATATATTACCCCGTCTATCGCCCGAAGTTGGCTGGGATGGACTCCAGCCCCCCCGCGACATTGTGTGCAGGATAAGCGGTTGGACGATGGATGGAAGGAGAAACATATATTGTTTTCTCAATAGAACAGCTTACCTCAGGTTCAAAGTATGTTGGATTTACTTCAAATACTTACAGGCTCAAACTAAATTGTGTGGCATGAAGACATTCTTTTCACACCCAGTAGACTATGCACGCTTTAATTTGTTTTTCTTCCAGTGGTGCGATACAGTCCTGTGTTTAAACACAGATTATTCTTTTTTTTTTCTGCGTGGGTGGATGCCTCATTTTTAAACAAAAGTCCTGGGTTCTTTATTCTCACAGATGTATCTATACAATTAAGCTCCTATCCCGACTTCAACACATGTTGTTCACTCTTTACAAACGTTCACATCCTTCATATCCGTCACTACACCCGTAAGCTACGATTTTGGAATCAGGCGCGTTACCCTAAAGCTTTGTTCTATTCATTTGCCTCAGCTGCTTTTCAATAGAAGCGAAAGCATGTGGGCGGGCATGTTTTTTTTTTTCCAGCTACAGTTGTTGGATGTCTCTGGGGAGTCTGTTGGATTATGGAGGGGAAATAAAGGAAGCTGTATGTTTTAACCTCTGTCTCTGGTTGCGTCAACCAATCACAACGCCTGCAGACGTGAGGTGCCCTTAAGTGGTGTTTACATTCATTGGTTAAGTCATCTCAGACTGTAGACTGTGTGTAATTGAATGTTTCATCATGTCAGTCGAAAAACGCGGCTTTAAGCCTTTTGAAACTGCGTTGGCCTACTTTGATATTTAAATTACACATAATGTGGCACTTTGTTGTCTGTGATAAGGTCTGCGGTAGGAGACATAGACCTTTGATAGGAATGAAGTTAGTTTAGCAGGAATTTGGTCACGATCCAAAGCATTATACAAAGATTGGCCAGAAATGAGAAGTCAAGGATCACCAAAGGTACTATCCGTCCTGGTGGAAAACATGAATGTCATTTCATGGCAGTCCATCGAATAGTTGTTGAGACATTTGACCACAGACTACTAATCGCACACGCATGGAGGCGTTACAGGAAAAGGGGATTCGCGGCAATTCATCCTCTGGTGACCATGAATATGTCAACCGAATTCCATGGTGATCCACCTTATGGCTCCTGGGATATTTCAGTCTGGACCGAAGTGGCGGACCGGCCGTGCGAGAGTGGCACCCCTAAAGCCCAAACAGGCTGTTTGATTGCCACGGGCCTTTTATGGTGTTTGAGGACGTGCAGAGATGCAACTTGTTTTGATGCCGTCTGCACGTTCTGAGCTGCAGGACGAGGCAAATTCCTGCACGCAGCTGAAATATCTGGTCGAAAAGTGCATGTCTGGACTTGCTGAGTCTTACATAACAAGTAGACGTAATCCCGTCAGACGTGACTGGGCCTTACAATAACACAGGAGGCAACACCGCAAAAGAACAGGGCGAGAAGATGAGACGGTGTGCTACTGGGCATTTTTCAAATGACTCAATGCGTCATTATAGCAAACTGACAGCCTTCTGTGCTGCTTGTAATGTCTACATATATAACCCAACCCACAGGTCACATGGTTGACTATTTATATAATACCGATTCTCAAACTGGGGGTCATTTATTTACCTCGACTATCAAAGAACAGGACAGTTAGGGATCATTTTACAGTCATATAAAGTTTTCTAATGTGCCCCGTTATAAAATGTGTTATAAAAGTATAATTTGTATTATTCACATAACTTCACTACGTAAGGAGTTAAACTGTGGGAGGGACTGCTGTTTTGTTCTCAAGGGCCTTAAACAAAGAACAGAAACCTGTTGGATTTAAAGAGCCCAACTTCCACTGCACCTGTAATCCTCACGGCTGAACTAACTTTCCACCAGCTCATTGGCTCACAAAGGTTTGCTGTGAGCTCTCATTAGTAAAGTATTTAATCTTGCTAAACAGCTTGCTCCTCACTCTTGGCACATCGGATAATTGCAATCTGAGACCTCACCACTAGATGTCGCCAGATCTCACACACACTTCAGCCCAATATTGTTGCTGAACTTTTGTGGGAAAACGCACAAATAATTGGGACACCCTTCAGACGCGCCGTTGTGTGATGATATGTTGAACTATCGGTACGTCAGTATCGGTGGAGGTGTTGCGAAACATTCAGATGATGATGCTTGATGATACATCCTGTTTGGGTTGGGTGGGGACATTTCTCATGAGGGTGTGAACATTCTCCTGTCCTAGACATAATGATTTGTATCTGTTCCTTTGAGACAATGAATGGGTCTTAGTAAAAGAGCGGCACATTGTAATCATTCTTGTTGTTGAGATTCCTTGGCTTTAGTCATGTATCTGTATGATATGTCGGTTTGTTTTGGTGATGGGATATTGTGTTTTTTCTGCTTCTAGTCTTTGATCCAGGCTCTGCTGGTTCTGTGATGACTGTTTTGATGTCTTGAAACCATCTGCATGTCTCATCTGCAGATTTTTTTGATCCTGTCTCGCTTGACTTCTTTAGAAAGCTCATTTGCGGGCGAGAATCCTCAGAAGACTTCTTTGGGTTCTGCGCTGTTGCGGGCCTTTGCCTTGCATTTTAGGATATTTGCATGATTTGAGCATGCACAAGGAACATTTTCCCGACAACCCTGCAACCATTGGTTTTTTGCCAGAGGCTTTTATGCGGCTTCTTCTAAGAGTTATCTTCTTTCGCTTTCATCTTGCGTTTTCTGTTTATTTAACTTGGCACAGAACATGCTTTTTTTCACTGGAAGGAAGTTTCCCGTCATTGACTATTAATTGTGATTTATCCTTCAAACGTGATCATCAGTTGAGGGCTTTTTCCATTTCAAACCAGTTTTTCCACTTGTAGTCTACATGCGTTTAGGTTTAAAGGCAATTTAGTTTAGAAATTTTGCATAGTTTTGTAAGCTTAATCCTATTGGTACGTTTTGGGGATTTAGTCAGATCTACATGCTTAAACTTGTGAAGAACGATAGTTCAGCCATCATGAGATAATTAGCCAATTGGTGACCTGGTGCTTCCCAAATTACAGCTAACGACAATCAACATGCTTTATTTGTTTTTTTTATCCCACATGAGACTGGTGCCTTTTCTCATTTCACTCTTGTCAATTGTAGGTCATAATACAAAATAATTTGCGATTCCCTTACTTTAAAATCCACTCTGTGCCTTTCAATTTCATTGGCTGTTTTTTATCTAATAAATATTGTTTGTAGACGACGGACTTCTCAACGAGACTTTTCTTCTCTAACTCCAACTATTCATGAATCTACACCTTCAGCTTCAGCTACAGCCCCCACCTCCCACCCGACCCTGCCATTTCCTCCCCCTGGCCGTGGCTGTGTGCGCGTGTGGCATGTGCTTTGGATTCCTGCCCAAGGACTATTCACTGAGGGAGAACAAGGCCCCCCAGTGTGCTCTGTTTTTACACATTCCTCGGCCCTGACATCAGCCCGGCTGCAGGAAAGGACGCTGCCTCAATAGCAGAAAACGGCTGTGTGCGGGAAGAGGCCCCCCCTCGCCCCTCAAACCCCGGCAGTCTGGCTGGCGGACCCCGCCAAGGTGGGGGGCCCCAAGCCATCTCGGACCGCACAAGCCCCCGACAACAATGCAATCAAAGGGATGCTTTGCATACCACATGTTGTTTTGGGGCATAAATTAGATGGCGATGGTTAAGATGGATTACGCCTGCATAGACGGGCCATATGGAAATTTAGGTCACATGCTGAATGTAAATATTATGCCTTGCAAAATTGCAGCGTGAAGGCTGTGGAGTCGGAACCTCTTCTTCAAGCATCAACATAATGTGGCATTATTTCAGCACTTTCCTGCAATATGTAACCCACTCTAATCATAACACAACTAAAGTCATCCCATTTCACAATATCTTAACTATTTTGTGTAGCTTATTTTATATGGTCCAAAATCAAAACCGTTGCCATGCAGGGCTTTTCTATCTGTACACCTTGGTCCTCAACTTGAGCCTGACAGGAGAAAAAACGTAAAAAAGAAACCCTGCATTGAGGAGGAATTCATCAAGGGAGGTTTACGCGTCCTTCCTCCAGGCTGAACATTACATTATGGATGGATGCCATGTGTGTATTAAATTATGTACAAGAAATACAATGTGTTAGATTAATATCTGCAATATGAATTAAATATAATACATGATGTCTAATAACACACAAACTACAATTCTATCACTATTCATGATCACACATATTATTAATCCTGCCGCTAGACGTACTCTTCTGCTTGAATCCCGACTGATGCCTTTTTGAGGCGTGTTTTCAGGGCCATAGCCATTCAGTCCAGAACTCACACAATAGTCAACTATTAGCATATTAATACATTGTGATGGCTTCACAGAGAATGTGTGTTGCTCTTTTCTCAAAACTTCAAGCTGTACATATCAAGTTTTGACTTACAGAGCTATGCGACCTAGGAACTACATGGTCTGAATCCCTACAATAATCAGGATTCAGCATGCTAACATGCTAGCAGCATTAGCTCTATAACGCTAACCATGTTCACTGCAATGGTCCAAGTGTTAGCATGACGTCATTAACCATTAAAATGTTGACCCGCTGATATTGAACGTTATCTTTAGGGAAACATGAATGTCTGTACACAAAGTCACTGCGGTCAATCCTGCAGACAGAACCGGCTGTTCTCATGCAGCATTACGAAGCATTAATGAGCTGTAGACTGATGCATGGCAGAAATACACCATCATGCCAGTATTTATTAACATTTATAGTTTGGTCTACTGAGGCGTTTATTTGTTGTTCAGGATCAAGTCGTAGGACAATGAGCCTGATGTAAGAGATGCAAATTAGGTGGAAATAAACCAATATGTATTCGTTACATTCAAAAAGCAGTTCGTCTTGGAAAAGAATCTCTTTTGTTTTTCTTCCT